TATTGTCATTCTTAGTGTTGAATTGATTTTCTTTTTGCATTAGTATTAATTTGATTTTGATTTAAGCTTTATTATAATTACCAACATATGTAGACTATAATCTTTATTGAACCATTCAAACTTAAAATAATATATTAAAAGATAAAAACTATGAAAAAGTATAAGAAATATTTAAAAATTATATCAAAGTAAATATTTTTATGTATAAAATAAAATTTTAAAATTATATATATAATGTCGGGTTGGTTTGGTCTCGGGTTATCTTTTTTTAGTTAAAACCAAACCAACCCAAATACAGTCTGGTTTTTTTTCCAATACCAAACCAATTCAATCCAACCACCAGTCTTTTTTTTTTCTCGATTTGCGATTTGATTTGATTTTCGATTTGATTTTGTACACTGGTATCGATATTTATATATAATGCATGATATTGTATAAATAGTGTATAATCACGTATACATAATGTATAACTATGTATTAAAGATGGTTTTTTTTAAAAAATAATTAAAAGATGTATTAGAAATGTAAAATAATTCACTGCGAAACGTCAATTTCTAAAGGACTCCTCGTCGAGGTTTAATAATAATTTTTTAGTATAAATTACATTAGAACCCATTGAGATACAATCCTATTAACTAGCAAGGCCCCAAAATAGGCTTTAGTTCATTCCTGAGATACAAAAGGAACATTCTGTTGTGACTCAGTACTTTGGAGCCAAATGATAAAATGTCAGTAGTAAACAAGTCTTTTTCCAGAATAGCTGTACAGAACAAAGGATGGATATATATATGCCAACAATTTGCTGCTCCTTCTTTTCCCATAGCAGCATCTTGTTTCTTCCTATACAACCCCATACTCGATTTTTGTTCATAAAATATGGCGTGATTTGCAGTTACAGCCTTTTGTGTGACATCCCTTTCTGCCTTCAAACTAATTGTTTACTTGTTTGAGATGCCTTCATTTTTGAAATTGTGTAACAATGGGAACTTTTGATCTGGAGACGACTCGAGATCACTAGAATCATTATATTCAGGCATCTCTTTTGCCTTTCCCCACATTACCGTATAGAATCCAATAGCAATTATCGTTGCTCCAAGGATGCTGATTGTCAAAGAAGAAAGTAGATAATTAGATTATGATGACATACGTGTGTAATTCGTAAAAGAAAATAAATGTGTTGTGTGCAGAATTGGGCACTTGAGTTTGTACCTTCCTAAATAAAGAGTATCTCCTAAGAGAATGACTCCCATGGCAACTGCAATCGCGATGGACAATGGTTTAAACATTGCAACATATACTGGTCCTTTCACGCGCAAAGCCCAGGTGTGAATTGTATTATTTAGGGATGAACCCAATATTCCCTGTGTGATGCAACACATATCATTTCATCGTACATGAACAGACGTAGCATAATATATAATATAAAGATATGGAAAAATCAAACTTATTTCTCGTTTCACTTACAGAGCAGAGGATGGAGGCCAGTGCGATATCCGGTTTAATTATCCATTTGTTGGAGTCAGGTTCAGATAAAAATCCTACAATACCAGCTAGGATGCTAACAGTCAAGTTGTAGAAGAAAACTACCGTCACTTCTGCTGGATACACCTTCATAATCCATGTCTGTCATCAAACAAAAAAACTCTCTATTCAGGGACTAAGTCTGTGTTGGAAAAAACTTGCCCGCACATTTAATCACGAGTCACAAAATAAAGCGAGAATATACATATGAAAGAAGATTGTATATAAGACACATATTTTGCATTAATTTGGTTGTTGTAAACATTGAGTATGAGTAAAATAAAAATTCATACCTGAACTATATACCACATTGGGACTAAAAAATATTCAGTTGTGAGGAAAAGGCCACCAAGCATCCAATTCGATTGAGATGAGCCGAGAGGTTGACGTAGTAAATTGGGTGTGGACGTGGTAGGCACTAATATTTTTGGGCCTTTGTATAGAGTTACTACGAATGCTCCAGCTATGGACACCACCGTGCCCAACACTTTGGCTCGAGTGGTTGATCTTTTCAACTGTATCTTCTCCATCCTGTTTAACAGTTCCACTCATCAAATTTCTTCTTCTAAAACATAAAAAACAGAGAGCCATTTTTGAACTTGACACCACAGGTCTAATTATGAAAAGCGGCCAACATCTAAATACAATCCACACATGTGTTTATTTTTGTAAATCAGCGTAAAATGAACTAGTTATACCGTAGGCCTATTCTGAGGTCATTCTTTAAACTTAGTCCCCGTTAGTCGAATTGAGTGAACTTTGCCCTTTAAAGTAGAGTTGGATGTATTTTTCTTTTACAGACAAGTTTAATCCAGGGAGCTAATGTCGATACAATTATAATAGTGGCCTCGAAGGGTCATTTATGCAAATGGTTCAATATTTTTCCTACAACTTTTTGTTTTTAAACAATGGATCAAATGGCCTACATGCTACAACTTAGATATCAGTAATCTTAGTCGAGTTTATCCTTTTTTTCGGTTGGGAAAAAATGATGGATGCTGACAAAAGATGTCAACAACTTGACACAAATTGGAGATTAAAAAAAAACAATCTAATTTCATTATAGTGGGGACAACAAAATTAAGAAAATGACCTAAAATTAGGACATGAGATTATTAAAGAGAACCTGAAAATGACAGCCAAGACGAAAGTAAAAGCAGGGACGAGATTGCTGATGGCGGAGGCAAGCGTAGGAGAGGCATAGATAATGCCTGTATACCCCATTATCTGTGATGTACACCTGCACTTCCAATTATGCACAATAATATACATTATGAAAAAGCAAGAAAACATGATTATATTTTGTTCTTAGACTATTTTGTTGAAATTTACTAGAATGAATGATCATCAAAGCGTATAGTCTAAAATGTTACTGGTGTGAGTTGGATTTCCACTTTAGCCTACTGAATTAATGTGAAACGAATATATGTAGTGCCCTCAAAAGAGGTCATTTGCCCAAATGCCCAGTCCCATCTATGTTAGTAATAATGAAAAAGAAAAGTTGAAAAAATAAACCGCAAAGAATAGAGAAAAAGGACAAAACGTTCCAAGAATTCTTATTGACCTTGTGCCTAGTAAATTTCCACATATGAAACAGAATTACTATTGAAGTATCAATCAACTTGTACTTTAATCTCACATTATTGAGGTTGACTTTTTGCTCTCTCTTTATTGGTTCAGCACTAACTTTAACAATTGAATTCTGACAAATTAGAATTTGGACACTCCAAAAGTCAGCTCAAAAGGAACGAAGATGGCTAAGAGATCCATGGTCTGGTCAATTGGATCTGACTTTGATACTATGTCAAACTAGTTCAAAGGAAAGAAGATTGTTCAAACCTTACAAAGAGATTGTGGGATCATTCTCATCAATAAATTTAATTGATTTACTCATTTTTAAGACTAACAACATCCAATAATCCTAATTTTCTCGAAAATAACCAAACTTTTTTTGGGGGTTTTAGCATATTGACAGATTGAGAGTGAAAAAAAACAAGAAAAAGAGTCAAATTGGTACCCGATAACTCCAAGAAGAAAGATTTTGGCGAGAATTGAGCAATTGAGTGGTGGAAGTATTCTTGATCTGCAGTTAGATGATTCCAAATTTTCAAAACCCCATCAGATTCGTGATCAAATTTTACAAACATGCAATAGAAAGAAAAAAACAGAGCATGTACCTGGCAGAGAAGAAAGGAGAAGGAAGAAGTAGAAGAGCAGCAAGACCATAACTATAAACAACAAAAACATGATTACTCATGCCTTTGTTAGTAGCAGCTTTGTAAAGTGTATTTAATCCAACATTTATACATTCCATAGTCACCATAGCTGTAAATGGTAGCACTTCTTTGTAAAAAGTTGTCTCTCTGTTGTTATTGCTTCCCATTTTTGCTTCAAAAACTTCAACTTTTTGTGTTTCCCAAATATCAATTTCTACGCGTGGCGGACATGAGCTCTACCTGATATTTAATCATACCAGTGTGTGTGTTTAATAATACTATATATTATGGACCAGAATTAAAGTAACTGTTTTTTCAGCTAAGCTTATATTGGAATTAAAACAACTGTTTTTTTTAGCCAAGTTTATATGGAAATTAAAGTTGAAATCTTTACACTTTTTTTTATTCCTAAGGTCCCATATTGGAGATGACATTTTCTGTTTTTTATTATCTTAGAGTAGAGGTTGTGCAAATTTGGTTAATTCCTAACCATCTATTCATCAAAAAGTATGTTATTTCATTTTCTAATCAGACAGCACTTTCAACTTGCAAAAGTTCTTTTCGAATCAAACCTTCTTCTTTGTACAAAATTTGTAATTAGACCAAGTCTAAACATTTAAACCTTTCGTTTATGACTAGATGTGGTAAACTATTTATTATTGGTCTGAGGAAGTCATGATTTATATATGTTAGTTGATGATATGGGGAAATGCGGAATAAGAATTGATTCATTATATCCATCTTGTTAATTTTATCTACCTATAATCGGAGATTAGAGTCTAAAATTCTTATTGAAACCTAGTTATATGGAAAGTCTTGAGATTTTATATCCTCGATTCTCCTTCTTTTTCTTCCATGTCAATATTATTTTAATGATGTGCAAGGTTTGACAAGGCCACAACCTACAAAAGTACAAATTATGATGAATTTATCTTACTTATTTATGTAAAAATCTACAAGTATTTGGTTGAAATTTAATAATTGATGACATATCATTTTGCCGAAAGGGAATTAGTTAGTGCATATAATTGTGATGTAATTAAAGATGAAAAAAAAACATTAGATGAATGGGCACGCAAAGTAGTAGTTGTCCTCATGAGAGATGAGAGTTGCTTGTGGGAGTGATAAAAGGATAAGTAACTATTATATTGTGCTTTTGTGTGATAAAGGGGGCAATCTACTAAGTCTACATAATTGGTTTCCTTTCAAATAAACAACAAAAGAGCAAGTGAAGTTTGGAGTAATATTGGGCTCGATTAAATGTAGATTTGTGTCGATAAATTTCACATGAGACTAAAACACTTTTTAACAAAATTGATTTTATATGCCGTCAAACTTAAACACCAAACATTTAATTAAACATAAATAAGTACTTATTACTCCACTCTACCCTACCTTATCGGATATAATTGGCACCCATTCAACTAAAAAAGACAAGTGAAGTTGGGGTGGAATGGTAACACTGTGAAAGGTGAATGGTGACACTAATTGATTGTTGACATTTCGACAATTTATGCGTTTCCCTTCAATTATTGATACTTTCACCACTACAATAATGCTTTAAAAAAACAAACAGTGGGAGTGCCTGACAAATTGTGAAATTGACCTGCTTCTTTTATCAAAGAAAAAAATTGCAAGGAATTAAAAGAGTTAGATTAAAATCTGAAACAATACTAATTAAGTAACACTGATATTCCTAGGCATCTTTAATCTTAGTTTCAAGTTAAGATTATGCTTTAAAATATAATGATACAAGTTTAATTAACTATAAGGTTAATTCGTTGATCAGATAACCTTGCTCCTTGATCAATAGGGACATGTCTAGGCTCAATTTTTTTAAAAAATACAAATATGTAAATTTGTTAATGTGTGGCATGGAATTCAAACCTAGAACATCTAAGTTCTACCTGCTTTAACATGAATTATGTGTCATGTACGTCTCCTATATAGTATCCAAATTGGCAGAGATAAAATGTGTGTTTTCGATCTACAACAATATTCTCAACCTCATCATGAATTATGATTGTTAGGTAGAATATATTGAAAATATAATTAAATAATAAAATTCTACTCTCATTTAAGCTTTTAAATGAGATTGTCACATACTTTAACATGATATCAGTCATCTACTTCAACAAAATACACCATAGTCCATAAAGAATATCTCCAATTCTCCACCCCTATAAAAGGATTACTTCTTGCACTCGTAATCATAAGTGAAAGCTGAAGTGTACATTTCACTTTACATCCTCCTCCATTGACCACTTTTCTCTTCTCTTTTGAAAATGAAAAACTATTTTCATGAATAACCCATCTTTTTCTTTATTTCTAACCTAACATAAGTATCTCAAGCAAATTATCCTGACAACTAAATGGGAACAGAGGGACTGAGGGAGTATAAATTACCAACTTCTCGAGGGAGTTTAGCAAAACGCATAAAATGCGAGGTTACTAACAGAAGAAGCCTAAACCACTTTTCTTGCTATAATTTACTTGTAACATTACTTAATCTTATGCTTTTCTTACTATAATTTACTTGTGCAATAGAGGGCATGTTTGATTTGTTGAGTCAATTACACAAACAATATCGTCAACCTCAAGCACGGACTTGATCTCCTTAGCCTTCCCCCATAGAACAGAATAAAATCCAGCAGATATAATAACTGCTCCAATAACACTGCACACAACATTCAAACAAATAATTCACTTCATGAATGTTGTTCTTTTTCCGACAAGTGAGAAAATGCTGGCTATGGGCTCTTCAAAATTAGACGGAATATGTTATGACAAGTTTAAAATCACATGTTTCAAAAGCCTTTTTTTTCCTTGTAAAACATTGTATCCAGTCAAATATAATACAGGGGAAAAGAGCAGACAAGGGGTTCAAGGTTAATACTTAGGAACAAGCACTTAATATATGCATTAATCTACTTTTGAACAACAAAACTAGTTGATTGAAGATGTATAAGCACGGGCAAAAGGATGGCGTAGTCTATATATTACCTTCCTAAATGGAGTGGATCTGCAAGGAATATGATCCCCAGGATTGCTGATATGACCATTCCCAAGGGCTTGAACATGGCTACATAAAGAGGACCTTTCTTATCCAAGCACCATGTCAAAACGTTGTAACGAAAGACATTTCCAGAAACCGCCTAGAGTTTAAGATATATAACTGATAAGTCATATACATAATATATCTATATATATAAAAAAGAACAAGGAGAAGAAGAGAACAGAAAATGAAAAATGCATTAAATTTCTTACCGAGAAAACAATGGCTATCATCCCAATCCCAGGCTTCACCATCCATGTCTTTGGATTGCTTTCTAATGCCAGAGTTAAAATTGCACATTGAATACTCCCAAAGAAGCAAGTGAAAAACACTATTGTCATGTGTTCAGGGTATTTCTTCACGGTATCTGTCTGAGTAAATACGAACAGAATTGAGCATGTGACTGATGTGCTAATTGTGAGATATAAACTTATTTATACCTATGAAACAATATAGCAGCCACAGTTTAGTGTCTAAAATAATTGAGACGGTGCGTAAGTAAAGAAGTGAAATTTTATCAAGTATAAAATGAATCGAGCCCACCAAAAGGTTGCTCGAGAGAAAATGTTTTGTTATGAACTGAAAACAGATTGAACCATCTTCTACTATGACATGTTTTAAACAAAGCATCATTAACTAAAATAAGTCCTGCATACATGAAATGCACTGCCAACTCTGGGAGATTGTTAAGCTGATTTTTAACTTCAAATAATTCATCTTCTCAATCTTGAATCGCTTTCTAATATGTTTACCTGAAGAATGTTCCATCCAGAAGACATGATACAGGTGGTAGTAATCAGAAGACCTCCCAGTATCCAGTTTGATTCTTGTGGAAGTACTAACTCGTGATGAGATGAATCAGAAGGTAAATTTGATCCTAGTACTCTCGGTCCTTTGTATAGTGTCATGATGGATGCCCCTATAATTGCCACTATGGTGCCCACAGATTTCGCTTGACTGCTGGCCTTTCTTATATCTAACTTCTCCATCCTGAAAATTGCAAAAGATATGAAGGAACGAACGACTAGTTACAACTGAAACTAATGATCTAACATAGTTCCACTTCTACTTGTAGAAGAAAATAGTGCTAGTGTAATACCACAAAAAAAGAGAACACGGATCAGTAAATTCTTTAATTGTCCTCCGTCACACAATTGTGGACAAATATATCAAGTTTCAACAAATATTCAAGCAATGGCAGACCTACATGTACACTACTGTATGCTCAAGCACCCATTGTTCTTTACACAATCACTAAATTTTTAATAGGAAACTAGCCAGAATAGATTCACCGAGCACCTTTCTGTGATTAGTAGAACTGTAGATTAAGAGCAAATGGGCATCAAATTCTGGTCCGCCACTTTATTTCTATAGCATTAACAATCATTAATTAGTAAACCTAATGATAATGGTAAACTATGTTGCTAGAAACACTGTATATATAAATGGCAAAAGGGTCTGATGGACCCTTATGCTTGACTCGGATTGTAAATTAGACCTTTCTACTCCACAAAGTTTCAACTCAAACAAAATAGAAATTTTAAAGCCTTACCTGAAAATGATGGCAAGCAAAAATGTAAAACCTGGCATCAAATTCCCTAAAGCAGCTGCCAGTGTAGGAGTGCTGTACTTAATACCTGTAAAGGCCACGGCTTGCACCAAACAAATTCTGCAATACAGTTTACAAGTTAAATTTTCCCCAAATTTGATAACAATAAAACAGAGAAGAAATTAGTAGAATACCCCAACAGGCCAAGAAGGAAGAATCTCCACAATATAGGCAAAGTAATAGGAACCATATTGCTTCTGAAAAAAAAGACTAAAGACTTAAAATTTGACTAATCTCAAGAAATAGGTAAAGGGAATTGATGATTTTTGACAAACCTGAGCCTATGGAAGATTAAGCAAGGAAGAAGAAAAAGGGTACCAAGGGCATTATAGTAAACAACATAAACAAGATTGTTCAATCCATCATTCATGGCTGCTTTACCAAGTGTAATCATCAACATTTCACAACATTCCACCATCACCATTGCCAAAAAGGGTAAGAAATCAGTTGACCAAACCATTTTTCTTCTTTACACTCCCAGACCTAGACCTAGTCAAGAATCCTTTTTGTTCAGATGAAAGAAAACAACTTTTTCATTGCCGAATGACTCATGACCCAGGATTCCGTACTAAATTTGACAATGTTGTTTTTTTGGTCTCATTAATCAAGTTGGACCCTTTTTGTTTGTCATTAGTATTATCGTGCTTTGCAAAAAAGCAGAGTAGGGTAGAGTTGTCAACTTGAATATTGGTTGGTCCTATTTATTTTGAAGTTGAAATTTAAAAATAATTTGATATGTATTGGAAAAAATAGAAACTTTATACTAATGAAAGTTCAAGTTAGTTCATGACAACTTGAAAATGTCCAACATATATTTAAAAGATAAATTTCGAAATCTACTCTCAAAACTTGTGATCCATACTCATGAATCAAATTTCTCTGTCAATTTGAAACAGGATTTTGTATGCAATAGATTATGTCAAACACGAAATCCTGCTCCCCACCCACTTCTAACTTCTATATAAAAAAAATAGAGCCCACAAGTAATAGTATTTTTTCAACAATCAATTCTCTATTTTACTCTCTAAAAAAGAATCGTTTTCTCTCTCCTCAATATTATATTATTATTTATATTTCATTCTTATTTTCTTATTTCATAATATAAATCCTTTATTTCTTTTTTCTCAAATAATTACTTTATATAATTTTTAATGTGATATGAAATTATATATTATTCTAAATTTTTAAATAACATAAGTTGCAAGAAAATATAATATAATACATAAATTAGGGCACAAATTCAAATAAAAGTGACATACAATTACATAAACACTCAATTTTCAAAATTATTACGTTGTTCTCATAAATGCTCTATTAATGCATTACGGAGTTTAAAATGAGCATTTTTGTCCTTAATTTTTTTATGTCTAGCTAAAAATTATTCAAACCGGAGATTTTCATCTACCACCATTTCTATAGTTGGTGTTGGAGCCTCTACGACATTTTGAATTGGTGCATTAAGATCACGTTCATCCTCAATTATCATGTTGTGCAGTATAATACATGTAGTCATTATATCATGTAGCACATCCTTTCTCCCAAAAACGTGACGGTCCTGCAATAATTGCAAAACGTGATTGCAAAACTCTGAATGCACGTTCAACATCTTTTCGGCACGATTCTTGTTTCATCACGAAATATTTCTTCTTTTGGGAACGAGGCTCACGAATAGTTTGAACAATTGTAGACCATTTAAGATATATACCATCAGCTAAGTAATAACCCATATCATATTCTTTTCCTTGAATAACATAATGGGCGGGAGGCGCAATACCGCTAGCAAGATTGGAAAATAAATGTGATAACTCTAAAATTTATTATCATTATTGGTGCAGGCAAACCAAAATAAGCATGCCATATCCAAAAGTCATAATCAACAACAACTTCAAGAATAATTGTTGGTGATCCACTACGACCTGCGTATTGTCCAGCCCATGCCGTTGGACATTTTTTCCATTTTCAGTGCATGCAATCTAGACTACCTAGTCACAACCGCAATCACAACAATTCTCTGAATCATATCCTAATTTTTTTCTGAATAGTGCTAAATCTGAAAACGACCTACCGGATTACTAAATTATTGTTGTGATCAATTAATTATTATGTTATGTATTGTATTTTATCTTGTATTTAAATTATTATGTTATGGATTAAATTGTATTGTTATCTTGTATTTAAATTATTATGTTATGTATTGTATTGTTATCTTGTATTTAAATTATCATATCATGTATTGTATTTTTAAATTAAATTTTTTCATCTTGCCATTTTATTTTTCCGTGTTCTTTATAATGAAAATTAATCATGAAAATTAGAAAAAAAATTAAAATACTATTAATTTGAAATTAAAATAGTATATATTAAATAATATTTTTTTTAAAATATATTATATTACATTTAAAAAAGAATTATGAATATTAGATATTTAATTAATGGAATTATATGTAAAATAATATGTAATTAGAAAATAATATAAAATAATGAAAAAAGTGAAATAGAGAGTGTGAATAGTAGTTTTTCAAATTTGGAGAACTACTATTCAACTCTCTCAATTTGAAGAATAGAGGGTGATTTGGAGTGCCTATTCTCTATTTTACTCTCCAAATATAGAGAATGAAGAGTAAAATAGATGTGGGTTGGAGATGGTCTCAGAGACCCAAAGGCCCAACTAACTTGTGAACTCTTATTTCCCAACTCAAAATTCCTAAACTCAGTAAGCCTGGAAGAGAAAGGATTACAGATTCCACTTTTCAGGAAATTTATGAGACAAGGATAAAATTCTGCGTATATTTTATCTTTTTCGTATATTTTATCTTTTTCAGATTTTGCTTATAGAATGTTATTAAATAATACTCCAAAATAAAATGAGACAAATGTCTATTATATCAACAACTTATTGTGTGAAAGTCATAATCATGAAGAAAAATAAAAACAATTTCGACCATTTGTTTGAATAATTCAACAAGAAGATAAGCACATCGTGTGGTGCAATTTTGGGATTTATAATGTATTTTTTCTTATCTAATCCCTTTTTCAACGACTAACACTTGTTTTAAATAAAAATTCTTCATTCGATTATAATTGCCTTCTTAATAAAGACAAAATAATCTGGTGTAAGTAAGAGGTTTGGTTTAAACCATATACTACTGTAAAAGAAACTTTTAGTGGCAATAATTTTTTCATATTTAATGTCATTACCTCTAAGTATAATATATCAATAATATTTTTGTTGCTAAATAATTACGATATTCTTTATTTATTGTGGTGTATCCTTAATATTGATATGTAATATGTAGATATATTTTTATCTTTTCGTTTTGGCTTAATAAGTCATAATATATGCTATAAATTAACACTAGACTCTTTTGAGAACTGTCACAAATAAATTTAAAATTCTTCAAAAAGGAATATCTCTATATCTAACAATTATTTATGCATTTAGATTTTTTTTTCTCAGATCCTATGCAGTATAAACGGAATCTAAACCTCGAAAACTTGCAAAAAGTACGTTACATTTGCTTAGACTTCAAGAAAGTTACCCATTTTATTTCTTTGTTTGAACGGTAGACATTAATATAAAGTTTCGGGTTTCACTTCGTGAGTATAGAGTTGTCTTTGTCGGAAAGCATTTTATTCCTAATTTATGACTTTTTTGGCTCGAATTTAAATTTAATCAGGCTTCAATATAGATATCGAACACGTGAGTAGGGAAAAAATATATAAAAGATTTTGTGCTCAAAATAAGGCCTATCAAAATTTGAAAGTGGTCCAGTTGGCAATTGATAAAGAATATATTGTTTATTACCCAAAAATATTTTTAAAAAATGAGTAAGAATATCATCAACATGCCTATATCAAAGGAATTAATAGTAGTAATTTGCTAATTGTGTAACTAAATAAGAGATTTGAAACCTGAAGAACAATCCATTAGATTGATACATCCAAATCATACTATTTCCATTTCAGTTTTTCATCATTAATGTTCTCCAATTAAATTTTATTTATTTCCTATTAAGTTTTATTGATTTTCCTTTTTAGCTTTTTCTCTTTATCTTTTTTCTCCTTTTACCTTTTTTTTCCTTTATCTTTTACTAATTTTTTTTATAGGGAATTAAAAGGTGCAACAGTAGTGAGTATTTCTTTTTGTCATTTTTTACTGTTTATTTTGGAGAATAGTGAAACTTGTCAGTTGACAGCTTTTGGCTTCCAAATAAGTCAATGTCCATTTCCAGTTCAAAATCACCCCTCTAACTTCTCTGTTTTATATTTTACACTCTTTTTTTTTTTTTGGCTCTGTTGCTAAAAGCTAGAAATTATTTAAACACAGAGAGAGAAAAATAGGCTCAAAAATATTCAAACTTCTCTTTTTTTCTATTTATGTTGTATAAGGGATTTCAAGATCCTATAAATGTCTTAGGGTTTTGCTGCAGCCAGAAGTGATTCTTTATATAAAGGGATTCTTATAAGTATTGTTTTTCTGTGTAATGGTGACTAAGTGGGAATCAAGACAGGTAAAGATTCTGTCTTTAGCATTTTCTGTTTGGTTTCATCACTATCTCTTGTTATTTGCTCAGTCAGTAAATTGTGTTTTCTTTTGAAAAAAACAAAAGACTCCAACTTTTCTTGAATCTGAAGGTATAGTGATTCTGGATGTTTGAGTTTTTTTTAGCTTCTGAGATGGTGAAAGGGAGATAAAAAAGTTGGGTTTTATTTAATGTGTTTTTGAGATGATTTGTTCATTTGGTGAAGTTGAGTCACAAAGATGGGTTTCTAGACATACCCATTTGAAAAGTTCTTGGATTCAACATAGAAAAGATGGTGTTTTTACATATCCTCCACCTCTGTTTCCCCCATCTCCTCCTTCATTTGGTGGAAGTTCTAGTTTTCATAAGGAACCAAACTCATCTTCTTCATCCCCATCTGGAAACAAGATTAGTCCAGCTGTTCTTTTCATTATAGTTATATTAGCTGTCCTGTTTTTCATATCTGGTCTGCTCCATTTGCTAGTTAGGTTTCTTATCAAACACCCTTCTTCTTCAGCATCATCTCAGTCTAATGGATATCCTGAAGTTTCTAGTTCAGATGCTTTGCAAAGACAGTTACAACAGTTATTCCATTTACATGATTCTGGTTTGGATCAAGCATTTATTGATGCATTGCCTGTCTTTTTGTACAAAGAGGTTGTTGGTCCTAAAGAGCCCTTTGATTGTGCTGTTTGCTTGTGTGAATTCTCTGATAAGGATAAATTGAGATTGCTCCCTACTTGTAGCCATGCTTTCCATATCAACTGCATTGATACTTGGCTCCTCTCGAACTCAACGTGCCCTCTTTGTCGAGCAACTCTTTTCAATCCCGGGTTTCCCATTGAAAATCCAATTTTCGATTACGTTGAGCCAAGAGATGATGATGGTTATCATGGTAATGGGGATCATGAGTACCCCACTTCTCAAAAGACTATGGAACTAGAGGAAGTTGTGGTTGCTAAAGCAACATTTCCCGTGAGACTTGGTAAGTTTCGAAGATTGAATGATGGGGGAGAGGGAGAGGAAGTAGAAGGAGTAGGAGAGAGCAGTAGTAGTAATTTGGACGCAAGAAGGTGCTTTTCAATGGGTTCATATCAGTATGTGGTTGGTGATGGTAATCTTAAGGTAGCCTTGGACAATGAGCGAAAGACGAATAATATGAATCAAGCCAATTTGGCAGAGCACAGTCCTAATCCGTCAATTGATGAAGAGAATGAGGGGAAAAAGATAGGTATCGGCACAAAAACAGATAGTTATTCTGTTTCCAAAATTTGGCTTTGGTCGAAAAGAGGCAAATTCGCAAGTTCTTCAGATTGCCAAATGGAAGATCAGCCACCTTCTGGTATGGACTTACCGTGGCTTAGAAGAACAGAAGGCATGTAGTGAATTCTGATCTCTTATTCTCTTTGTTTTATCCTTTTTTGTTAAATGATAACACAGAGGTGAGTTTGCCTTTTGGCTAGTATTCTTTTAGATGCTAATTCAACAAAGCATGCCATACTTGATAAATGATAATCAGCTTGATTCAAAAGTTTGTTCCACAACTGCTATTTACTATTATTCTTATGTTTCTTAAGTTCTGTAAATGTATAGTCATCTCTTCATTCAATTGGTTCATGAATTCTTTCATGATTAACATATGAAGCCTAATGATCAGAGTGTAGGGATAACATTTTTTTTCATTTGTCATGAGCTGTGTTAGTAACCACCTGGAACATGCCCAAAATTTGCAACTTAGTCCTTAAGCAGTTTCAAACTGAGTTGTTATGTGTTACTTGAGATGAGGGTCTTTCGGAAACAACCTCTCTATATCCACGAGGTAGGATAAGGTCTGCATTCATTCTACCCTCCCTAAACCCCACCTGTGGAAATACACTGGGTATGTTGATTCTTGAAAAAGGTGGATGCTGTATTTTCCTTAGAGTCACAAGTGTGGATTCATTTTTTTGATAACGGAGAAATTTCCAATTGCTAGTAGGCTCAACATTGACACTGGATAGATAATGGACCCCTGTCTACCCTCGTCCACTTAAATTCCAGGTTTTTGTGTGTGGCAGTACTCGAACTTGTGACATGTGCTCAACCAAACCAATTCCCTATGGCACTGTCGTCTTAGTTTATAGAAAATGAAGACTTGGGATTCTCTTTGGTTCTCAAAGCATCCTATTAATTTGGCTTACGTGGTCTTATTGACCTATCTTTTGCCTTAAACCACACACATAAGCAAACTTCACTCTTTCTTTTGTTCTTTTATCTTTTCTGTTGCGATGGAGGAGGGGTGTTTGTGTGGAAGGGCTGTGTTTGAACACATGTTTTTGGTGTAGTGGTGGGATCCATGAAAGCAGTGACTTTGTTGGAGACCATATTAAGTGGCATCAGCTATGTGTCATTTGTCTTCAAATATGACCCTGTTTGTAATTAAAGCCTTTGTTGATTCTCCAAGAAAGAGTGCTGGCAAAATCATTAAGTTACAAGTAGAGATTAGATATCATAACCCCCTACTAATTATTAGTTAATTGACAATAATAATGTAGCCTCACATGTTGCACTGAGGCTTAAACTTTAATAATTAGCTGAAAATGTACTTGCTTCTCTTTTAATACAGTAACACTGTTTAGTTTTTCAAGTTTGACCTCCTTTGCCTAGCTACATTACAACTTTCCTAGTTCTAGCAATGATCCATCCTTTCAACTTTAACAAGATGTGTGGGGTTCGAGCCTTAGAAAGGAAAAACTCTTAGATGGACCAACGCTACGTGAATCTAAATTAGTTCCACGTTCTATGGTGGGATCAAATAGTTGGATTGTCCTACAAAGTTCTCCTTGCTCCTTTTCTCTCTTTTTCTTTATATCCGAGGCTCCGGCTCTACTATACTTGGCAATTTGAACTTGTAACATGCTCCTAAGTCCTAACCAACAACATATCGCGTGTTGTATATGTACCGTTGGACCAAAGTCATTTGACCTATGCAGTGTAGCAAATAATTTACATCTTTCACTGGAGGGAGAAAATAATGTGGAATCACGAGTGCAGATTATAGTCCTTCTCAAAGACTATATCTTGAAAATCTGTACCACATGACAACCCACACATTGGTAAAGTGGACCAGAAGAGTTTTAGATTTATTCAACTACAGGGTGTTATAGCTTATTTGGACTTGCACATTGTTGTATTTTTCTTTGGTTTAGGCAATGAATTGTCAATATTCTGCAGTGACTGGAAAATGACTTAGTTATGTGGTCCACACATATTAGTACTAATAATAGCTGAAACTTCACCTTTCAATCATGCTCAAGTTGGTCCATTATTGGTATTCATCATACTTTTTTTGTCTCTTCTTCTGCGTCATTTCATCATTATAAATTATGAATTTCAATTGTTTAACTTATTATGTACTAATACTAATGTCGATTTTATTAGATTAAGTAACTTTGTCTTCTCAGATAACCCCAAGGAAGCTGTAACTACCACCTACCATATATGATCAAATAATAATAATAATGCTAGTTAATATGGAGAATCAATTGCGCCAACAAACGTAGAGCGCATAGCGAACCTGAAATTTAACGAATTACTATACAGTATATTTGATGCCTACCATAGGTGATAAAAATGATTATAAAGTTGCTAGCAATTAGCAAATCTTGGTGGGGGGTTGAGCACTTTGTGTAACAGGGAAGGACCCAACTAAATTAGCTGGATTCCAACCCTCTTTCACCAGCGTTCTCCTAGTCACTGTACTGTCTTTGCGGGGACTCCCGTACTCATTTCATTTTAATTTACTTGTCTTACTTTTTTTTCTCTCGTTTGTTTTCAAAAGAAATGCATCTTTTGGTACTACTTATAAGGATACTTATGGTATGTTTAAATTAAATTTTGGCAGCATGAGCTCATGACATGAAATAGAGTATTATAAACTACGAAAAAACTTCACCTGTTTTCGATCCGAGACAGCTGTTGAAATAAAAAACTGACATTTGCTTTCTATATTATTTAAGCGCCATTACACCAAGGAGATGATTCATTCAGAACTCAATTAAATTATTTTTATAGTCCAGATTAAAAGCTAACATTCTCTTCTTAATCAATGCCATAAATATTATATTTCTTTCAATAGTAAATAACCTTCTATAGACATTATTGTTAATTACTTGCTCTGAATCACTTTAATTTTATGAATCATCCCATCTACAAGTTCAATGATAATCTGATGGAACAAATCATCAAAACAAACTAGAAAAATCCTGTGATTTATCAAACTGTACACAAACAAACAAAAGTTGGTAGTAACATTTTTAAAGAATTGAATTGAATAATACTCCTTACAGCAATTAACTAATCAAACGAATAAAACAAATACTCAACTAAAAAAAAATGAGAGTACTCAAATCTTTTTTTATTTCTCCAACTTAATCAACCGACCAAATTTTATGTCAGAGAGAATCAAAACCACCTGTATCATCACCGTCACAAGCGTTGCAAATAACAGAGCCCAATCAATTTCTCCGCCGCTCGTCCGATTCCACATCATGGCATTCTTTTTTCGTAATTCGCCGCTTCCGGCGGCTGAGGAATTCACAATTTGGATGGTGGGTCTTTGCCCAAATCCATTGAAGACTTAGCAGAAACCTGAATTGAAGTGAATCTCGACGAGAAATCACGGAATAAACGATCATCTTCCGATTGATCGTTTACCCCTGGTCCATCGTCGAAATTCAAGGAGTAACTCAACGGGTCGTAATTGAATTTATTTGTTTTGGAACGATTTTTATTGAATCGTCGAATGAATGTCTTCCATTTTGGACCTGCCACAAGTTCCGACCACTCCCTGACTTTCATAACGGCGATCAAACCCTTATCCCACCAATGGGGTTCTTCCTTTTGATCGCTGGTAGACACCCGTTCCCATACGCTTCTGCCACATGTGAAAGATGGAAACCAAAAACAACAACCCCTTTTCGTGAATTCAAGCTCCTGCAATTCTTCATTCACGTCTGAGTCTTTTGGGGATAATTCCGGGTTTGTTTGACCCGCCATGTTTCAAGAAATTAACAACAAGAAGAAGAAGAAAATATCACACAAACCGCAACCCCTTTAAATTAGGGCTTTTGTTGTTTGCAGATAAATGTGGAATTTTATAGAAACCCTAAAGCATTGGGCTCTGGATTTCTCTCTGTGCATTAGTTGCGAATGTTTATAACGGAAATATAGGAAGAGATAAAGGGGAAACCGGTGACAAATTATTAGTGGGAGGGTACAGGGTGCAAACAACTGTTATAGGAACACAGCTGGAACCAACTAATTTTCGGCTTAGTTATGATTGTACTCGTGGCAATTTTTTATTGGAAGAATATCTATTCAACTGTGGGCCTGCGGCGCCTCTCCTAGTTAATCTCATTTTGTCTGCAATTAACGGATTGTTTTGTTGAAAGTCACCTATTATTCCCGGTAATTCTTACAAGGGTATTAAAGTCCTCAACGGTCGAAAATCGAAGTAACGATTATTTTTTTTGTCAATCTTCTTTTTTCTGATTGGTATATTGGTCTTCACTTTCACATTTACTTCATGTATTAAGTCACCATATTTGAGTTTCACGTACTCTATTTTCGTTTTGCTTAACCTCAATCAGATATCATGATATTCAAACGTTCGTCATATTATTATCTTTATTACATGTCTCGTCGATTAATACTAATAATATACACTACAATATCTCTCCTACTATATGCCGTATCAATTCTTTCAATTCCTCTATTACTAAAACAAATAAAAACAAGCCAAGGATCAATTTATAGTGCAACACCACCATGATCCGAAAGTTATTATTTGGTGATATGAGTAATTTTTTATTTGTTGACAAAATAGAAGTTATTAATATTGAAACTTCGTTACTATATTATATAGTCATCATGTCCCATATTAGATGGACAGTTTTTATATTACATGATAATTAAGAAATCATTAATATATTGAGCAGCTTTACTATTTTTTTCCTTTGTTTATATTAATTATCCTATTGAAAAAATAAATTCTTTTGTCTTCAAAATTTATTTAAACTTCCTAAGGTCATATAGTTGCAGGGGTAAAATGAAAAAAAATAAAAATAATTTTGTTCTGATAAAGTAAGTGATCAAGTAATATAAGACAAATAATTTTAATAAAAAGCCCATCAAATATGAAATGGAGGGAATAGCTCAGAAGTGAAGGATTCACTTTTTTTTTCAAGCTATCAGTAATTTATTTTATCATCTTTGACTTCATAAAATTTTGAAAATGTTTTATGATTGGTTAAATTAAAAGAGAAGAAATTTAGTTCAAGGTCCAAGATATGTTGAGGATATAGAGTTTTAATTGTGATTATGGTTTTAATAAGAGAAAATGATATTTTCAAAGATTTCATTTATTTATTTTTTGCAATCTCTGATCATAAAATGGGTCATATTAATAAAGAACATGTGTATGATGAGACACAAAATTGATCTGCCATGCGTTTACTAAATGTGAAATTAAGTGCTTATATATATGTTTTGTACTTTAATATGTTGGTCTCAAACTATTTATCATGTTATATTTTTCGAGAGTTAAATAATAAAAAATTTAAAATATATTTTCTTACGATATGGATAGGAGAAAAAATGATAGTTTTTTAATAATTTTTTTAAATAGTTTCATTTTAATTTTAAAATATTAAAGTAATTAAATTTAATTTAATTCTGAAAATCAATTAATATTAATTTTCGAAAAATAAAACGTGATCCAAAATACTTTTGTATGGAGAGATGGAGTAGTGATTAAATTTGCAAACACTATATAAAAGTCTTGAAGTTCGTTATTTCCACCTAATAATATTCTTGAAAGATGAACCTTTAAATTATATATAACTCTTGAGTTCTTTTATTTTCACCTAAAATTATTGTATTTATTATTCGTAGTAGCAGTAGCTTTTAGTCAACTTAGACCGAAAAAAAAGAAGAAAAAGGAGAATAATTCTGTCTTTATTTGAGTTTAATATAATAAATAAAATTATAATATTCCACCAAACTCTTTGTGTGCAAATATTAGTGTAGCTGGAGAAGCAATTGGTAAGGGAGTAGGACACAAGCAACCAAATGCTGAGCCTCTAAATAAAGGGAATATGGAATCTAGTGTATGGTGTATGAATTTATTTTTATTATATTAATATATATGTATTTGTTAGCACTTTAATTAGTTGAAGAAAAAAACTTAACACTTTGATTATAATAATTAGAGTGCTTGGTGGATGTTATGTTCTAATTTCTCTCCAAAATAATTGCCACATATGTCATATAGTATCAACTCCCCTTCAAATTTTTAATCAATCTTTTGTGTTCTTTATTTTACTTAAGAACATTCATGATTTGATTACCAGAGTGTATATTTGAAATATCTCATAATTAAGAATGTGAGTCACAGAAAGATTTGATATAATTGTGTGTTATACTATTGAGTGCTGTATGAAAAAAATCGACTAATTAATTCATAATTCATATAATCACAATTATGGAGGATTGGTGTCTTGGAAATTATGCAAAGAAATTTTCCTTGCATGTTCTACATTAATTAAGGTTGAATTTTTAGCCTTAGATAAAGTGGATGGAGAAGTTAAATGACTCCGTCGATGACACTTCATTTTGGCCCAAATCATTGATGTTATATGTATATATTGCCATGGTCAAACGATAATTAAAAAGGCAGAAAGCGTAATGTATAACAAAAAATCTCAGCATATACAATAAAAGTATAATATCGTTAGTAAACTACTTTTTATAGTGGAATTATCATAATTGACTATGTCAAGTCATCAAGAAATAATGTGTCGAATTCACTTACATAAAACCTAATTAGAGACTTAGACTATGATTAAGGACAAATTGTCATGATGGTAACTCTATCTAGATCCTAAAATCTAGGTTCAAAAAGATCAAACAAAGTCATTGATAACGATTCAACATAATCAAAATAATTTTTTGATCTAAGGGTAAAGCGTTAAGGCCTTATAATGGTTTTTAAGTTTGATAGGTATATATCAAATAGTGTCATCTCGCAAGATGACACTTTTAGAAATCACCTACTAAAGTGTAAGTTATTTCAAGGAGAAATTTGTTGTGTCAATTATCTACGCATTTATGAACCAAACAATATTCATGGATGAAATAAACAAAATAGTGAAAATCAAAGGCAATATTCAAGCATATGTTCATACTATCATTGACTATAAATTCAGAGGACCAACATCAATTTTCGTCATCAAATTTCTGAACTTTTTCAACATTTTAATAAACAGATATTGGGACTTTGTGTGATTTGTATCACCATCTTTGCATTCGACTTCTGAAAGAAATTAATTTTCTTAATTAAGTAGAAGAGTAAATTCTGTAGCCTCATATACTTAATTTAAAGTTTCTATTTTTTGAGGGAAAATATGATTTACTTGGAGACTGAATTCGAATTGTTTTGACCAAATTCAAAGTTGAAAAAAGAGAGAAATATTTTTGAGGTTCCCCTGTTGTTCGCTTTAGTTGTTGATTAGAATTTAGTAGTAGGTTAACGTTAAAAATGCAATTTGTATGGTAATGAGTCAAGTTTACGCCATCTTTTTCGACCATTTCCCCATCAAATATATAAATACTACTCATTCTTCACAATTATTTTTTCTTTCAACTTGTTTCACTAGCTAATTAAGCCATTTTAATTTTACTATATTCCTCTCCATCTATCAAATCAAATGAGTATGAAAATGGGCACAACAAAATGTTTAGCTATTTTCATGACTTTCTTTTTGTTAGTCACTTACATCCAATGCCGTCCAATCACAAATCATTCTAATGAATCAATCAAGCATTCAAATTCTCATAACCAACGCATGAAAGTTCATCAACTTGGTGGCTCATCAGTTTCTCTAACTGAAGCCAAGAACTCGGGTCCGAGTCCTGGGGAAGGCCATAATGTGGTACACAATGAACACAATTGATATTATTCTAATTGTTTAGTGTTTCACCTTTGTTGGTAGAGAGAATTATGTTTCTTTATATTATCTTGGATAATTTTAACCCTATAAATAATTTAACATTTTTGAATTGAGTTTATGTCCAAAGTTTGCAAGAGTAAATACACAGTTCGTAATTATTCATTACTGCATTTTCTATTTTTATTTTTCAAATTTTTTGTGACGACTACTCTAACCGGCTGCTAACTATATTCTACTTTTGAGTTCTATTTTTTTTGTAAACGCATCAATAATATTAATTTGATTTGTCTTTATCATCTATATGAATTTATTTATATGTAATGTTTTCAAAATTACTCGCTAGACGTTGTTGTTTCAACTTTCCATCAGCCTATTGCTTGACGAGCCGTGGATTATGCTTGCAAGAAATAGAAATAGAGAAGGACCGTATCACAAGGATCTATTTCCACAACTATTGTAATTTTATATTTTTCCAAATAAAAAATAAAAAACTTTGCGTGCTAAATTATTGCATTACACAAAATTTTGCGTGCCATGGTATACTAATCAGTGACCACGATGCATGTGTCCTATTTCAGCTAGTTATCCACACTGATGTTACTTGAGAAAAAAGCATTACTACTAGTCAAGTTAATGACTCTTCTCTTAAAATCTTGAGTGATTAAAAAGTCATTTTTGTAACTTGTAGTACTAATTAAATAAGACCATTTGCGCTTCATCAATTTTTAGGTATTCAAGTGTCTAAGTTCTGACGATCGACAATGATACATATATTAAAAAAATAACAAGTACTAGATGAAATAGTTGAGCTATGAACAAACAGTTGAGGGTCAGATCGATCCCCTTGCATCACATGTTGTTTAAATTCCATAAGTCATTTCAGTATGCCCACTGAAGTTATTTTCATGTGTTTGCTTGGGGACAAATTAAAGTTCCTTTGAAAACTCAAGTTAGACCTGTTTTTGGACAAGTATGCATGCTATGCCAAGAGAGATTTCTTTAAGTTTACTTTATATTTAGGTCATTATTGATTGTTTTTAAAGGGAA